TTCCAACCTCCCCTGAGCCTTACATTTTGACTTCAAACATATACACATACATTTCTCATAAAACTGTAGGGCCAATGAAGGAGAAAGCACTTAGATGACTAATATCATATCCTCAGAACTAATAGACCTTCATTTATTCTGAATCTGGAGTGAGCATTAAATTATTTCTTGTCTTCTGATTAATGAGCATCTTTTGCTTCTTGCAACTCCCTTTAGAAACTATGCTTCAGCATATATATCTAAGATACTTTAAATAGGAAGGAACATATTCTTTGAAACATTCAATAATTCAGTCGAATGGTGGTGGCACACACCTTTAATCCCAGCACTCGGAAGGCAGAGACAGGTGGAGCTCTTAATCCCAGCACTCGGAAGGCAGAGGCAGGTGGAGCTCCGTGAGTTGGAGGCCAGCCGGATCTACCAGAGCTAGTTCCAGGATAGTCAGGACTATTACAAAATGAAACCCTGTCTCAAAAAAACAAAAAACAAAAACATCAATAATTCATAGAACATGAAAGGCACAGAAATGCAGATTTGGAAGTTATGTTTGATGTTGCAGAGAGATCCACAGAAACCATCACTGGCCAGTTGCACCACCTGGTGTCAGCACCACAACTCGTTAACACTCTGATGCCTGTCACTCCTCCATCACCCAAGCCTACTAACTGTGGGGTTCACATAGGCTCTATGTCTGCCCCTGACGTGGCAGTTTCATACCATGGCTGCAAAAGAAACTAAAAAGGTGGGGTTCTGATGTCTGTTCTGAGAGACAGAATCAACAGGGAGGCATTTCACAAAGTAAGGAAAACATTGAAAGGTTCCTTATGCCTACAATTATGACTGTTCCCCTCCAACCATTTAATATAATCTCCATCAAGCTAATCAAATTTAGTTTCCTCTACAGTTTCTAGAAACAGAATGGTTCTAGGGAAAAAAATCTGTCTCAGGGACAATAAAATCTTAAACAGAAGCTTCTCATAGTTGTGTCTGTGGCTGTTTCTTCGTTGTCTCTGGACATATGAACATGTGTACATTGTGTGGTTCCAGGACAGTCATGCAATATGGTTTCTTTATGCTCTCATTGACTGACGTCTCCAAGCCTAGAACTCACTCAGGAAATAAGGTCTAGAAAGACAAATATGGAGAGATGTGTGTTCTTCATCTGATCAGGAAATTCTATGTAAAGTCTGCTTCAAGCAACAGAAGAAGGAATCATTGTTAACATCAGAGATGTTTAGAGACAGATGTTCTAACACCCGGAACAGGAAACCCTCTGCTAATGATTCTGACCAATAACCCTGCATTATAAACAATGCTAATACTGCTCTGGCTACCAAATGTCTGAAGGGAAATCATGGGATATAACTGTTATGGGTTGCCAACACATTCAGTATTTACTATGCGGACTTCAAGTTTTATTCAGACTGAAGTTTAGATCTTTCATTACATTCAAAATCACCATTTCAAGCTTCATTTTTTACTTTATATTCAGACAATATAAAATGAAATTTTAGATTATAAGATATCTTAGAAAATGTAACTTTTACTATGCTACTAATGTTTTAGGTTTTTACTCTTGAAGCATAGTTTTTAATTTAGATTCTTATGTGTACTCATTTAATAACCAACTTTAAATTCAGTAATCACATTTTCCCCTAAGCTTTGATTAGAACAATTATGGTAAATGAAAATAAGAAAGTAATTTCTGTAAAGAGATTCAAAAGGCATCCTTTTCGAGCCATAAAGCAGCCATATAAATAGGTTGTGTTCGGGGATTTTTTTAGCATAAGGCCTTACATTTTAAAAAAAATGTTCTCTTTAGGACATGTAGATCCCAAACTCTCTCACAACCCACCCAGTATCTTTGTGCTAATCTCCCTTAGGACTGTAGCCAGCTTATCACACAAAAGGACGGTCGGCACGTGCTACTGCATGGATTTCTGGTCTCTCCCTGAAGACCAAGAACACAGAGGCTGCAGCAGGGCATCCCTGGTTCCACACGAGGAAACGTAGGCACAGATCAAAGAACTAGAAAAAGAGTTAGCTAAAAATTTCCGTCTACCTGCCCCAGTTTTTCTTCGTCCTAAGCCATGTTGGCCGACGCTCACTTTTGACCTTTTTTAATGAACCAGAGAATACAACTGCACACAGCCAATGTGAGTCTCTAGAGAGGCTGCCATGCCGACACGTGCTCTAAAACTGACTTGAAATATGTTGTTGAATGTTTTCTGCTGACTGACTACCATCCACTTCGACTGATAACTTTCCCAATTACGTAGAGCCTTCACAATGAGACCTTACATACTGTACTTTTTAAATTATGCTGATATTGTTATAAAGACAATGAAATAAAGACTGAAAACACTGTGATTAGCAGAGTTTTTATAGCATCTTACAGACACAGTAGTAAAACCAAGGAAAACACTAGACAAACTTTCATTAAGGCCTGTGAACTTATAAAAACATTCTCTACAGCTCTATTAGAGTGAGAAAACAATTTTTTGCTTGAGTGGATCCCACTAGTTAACTCAGATCCCCACCCCCAACCTCAGAAATGAGAAGTTTTCAGAAACGATCTTTCATTAGACCTTTTATCTTTATCCTTTTTCCCCCAGTCCTTAACACCCACCCAAACACACACACACACACACACACACACACACACACCAACAAGGAACATGGTACCTTGTAAATTTTCAACACTCTACATTCTAGAAGAAATTGGCTAGCCTCATCGTCTAGGGGCCGGTCAGGAGAAAGGGTACAAACAGAAAGGGAAGGCAAGGCACCTGCTGTTGTCCTCCACAGAACTTAGCTCCAGCTTCCATGGACTGCTTTGGCTTAGTCTCTGGCTGAATTTAATAACGGCAACGCATGCAGCAGAGAGGAGGCACAAATAACCTCGTTGATTTCCACTGTACCTTCCCACCTGACACCTTGAGCTTTAATTACCGGAAAAGGAGCTAAGTGTTCTGAACTTCACTTCCTTCTCACCATGTGTTAGTTACCTCCAACCCTTATTCCATCTGTGGATTTTTATTATTTCCAAATACCTCTTCTACTGGGAGAGGAAAATAAGCTAACAGTGAAGGGCATGCTGACTTTCGCCGTTTACTAGATGCTAAGAACTTTAAACAAGAGGATTGGAGCTAAATTCTAGTGTTCTCCTTAAGTGTCTGCTGTCTGAAGTGAGACCACAGTCGGTTTTAATTGAACATAAAATCTCCAATTTGATCCTAAGCGGTGGAAGTGCTTTCATTTGCAAGTAAGTAGATATTGAACCTGCTCCCAAGAGATGCTAAATTTCGGTGATAAGTTGCAATATTATCACAATCAAAGAAAGACCTGGAACATTTTTCTGCTCCCTGGAGAAACACCAGCCTCTGTGGCGATGTAATTAGTAATTTAAGTATGCGTTGCAGCTGCAGTCAGAGCCCGAGCTACGCAGGCAGTCATTCTCCCTCTCTGCGGAGCAGAGATGTTTCAAAGGGATGTCTGCTTTGGGAGAGTGGAGCGAAGCTGGCAGAGCAACCCAGGCCCCTTCCGTCCTTCCTTCATCACGCAGTGTTTAAAGAAAGGCCCTTCAAATGAAGAATGGATGAAGAAAGTATGGAATACATACATATTAGAGTACTACTCAGCAGTAAAAAAAAAAAAAAAAAAAAAAAAAAAAGAACAACTAAA